AACTAAATAAACATTATTTTATATAATATATATATGTACATTTTAATATAAATTTTTATGCTATATTAGTACTCCATGTAATTCAGTTTTCCTTTAAAAACTGCAAATTGGTTTTAATTAAACAGACTGATTGATTGATTGATTGATTAATTTCCTGCTGCAAATATGTAAGCGCTATTATTGGCTGGTCATATAACAATGAAACACTATAAAATTATAAAGAACAAATTTTCTGAAGAACTTGTCGCGACGACTGATCAAGCGAACCAATCACAAAACGTGTTCATTTTAGGTTTGTATATATTCACTCCGAAATTGCAATGAAGTTTGAGTAGAATTCATACGTTATCAAGGAAGTCGGAAAGACAAGAGGGGAGGGCGGAGATTTTCGTAGAGGGGCACTTTTTAATTGACATATATTCAGGAAGATTGCGAAGCATCTAATTCAAAATTTGATGAGAATTTTGACCCGTAATATCCAGTCAACTTTCATTCCAGTCAACTTTGTTCTCATTTAAATGGGGATCAACTCTTCTCAACTTCCTTCCTTCGTTTGACCAGGAGTTTTGAGGGTCTACTTATGACATACAATTCAACACAGAGCACGAAAATTAAAATACTTTTATTTCATTATAATTTCTTTTCACCATAAACCTATACTTCTTTTCGTCTCTTCTCTGTAACGTGTAAACATAATGAAAAGTATAGCATAGAAGCAAAATAAAATTAGTGTTTCACATTCCTCGTGCGTGCGCTGTGTGTTCATTATGACGTGTTCGAGACGGCAAGTTTCTTGAGATGATCCATGAAGACTTGTAAGCTGACGTCATCAGTCAACACAGGTGCACCACCTGCATCCTGACCCCACGCATACATGTTGTTGTGTGTTTGAGATGGGTTCACTTTTGATAACAAGAAACGAGCCTAGAAAATAAGAACAATTAATTAATATCAGTGACTGGTCTAGCGCCATGAGCCATGCGTGATCTGGAATTTTGGTCAGATTTTGCTCGAAAAAATATTTTATATATTTTTTTAAAATACAGCACAAAGTTATATAAAGAAAGAAATTTTCCGTGTTGACATTGAGTTATATCAACACGGCTCTTAGCCAATCAGAATTTACAAATGCTATATTATAAATATACATAGAAAACATTATTTGCATCGTACTAGCATGTGAACGTGATAGGACATAAACTTTTGCATGCATGGAAATGGGAACACCTGATCCCACATAAGAACGTCACGGACGTGACTAGGGATGGGTGTCGATAGATTATTAGATCATGGAACATAATATCATAGGAACATAATATCAGTAAACGTGTTTCACTTACGCAAGGGAAATTTGTGGTACAGAAAATACAAAATATGTATTCCTGTTCTGTTAGGGGAGGACCATTACAAAAGTGATGGTGGGGAAAAAGCAAACAAAAATCGCGCAGGGGAAACAGAAAGAAAAAAAATTCGAGCAAGAAAATTCGTGCAGAGACTTTTCAATAGGGAAAATTATAAGTTGAAATAAAAAAAATCCGTGCAAGGGATTATATTTAAAAAATTATCGACACAAGCAAAAAAGTTAAAAAAAATATTCGTACAAGTTAAAAAAAGTCCCCCTCTATCACTTTTCTAATGGTCCGCCCCTTAGTATGAATATAGGCTAAAAAGTGGTTATGTGAAGTGTTGTGTTGAATATGTTATGAGTGTGTTAGTCGTTGAATTGAGAGTTGTGCACGCAGAGAGCGTGAATCGCAGAGTTTGTTAAAGTGAATGAATTGTTTTAATTGAGACGCAATCGTGTTGGGTAATTCTGAGTAACGTCAGTCATTGTGTAAAACGACGTGCACTCGTGTGAAGAGTCTTGAATCGTGAGCCAGCAACCGGGGTGACTCAAATCGCACGCGTGACGCGATAAAATGCTTGCATGATATTTTGCACAATCAAATTCCGTTCTACTTGTTATCAATGCTTAAAATATTGGAGAAAAACGCCTTCGACAACGGAAAAAATAACACATTAGATTGTCAGATCCTGCTACAAGTCTAAAATCTTGGATATAAGTGGTTGAGAATACCTTTCCCTCTAAACAAAATTTGCATACCCCTTATGATAAATTCCATGTTAAATCATGTTGCGCTTCCTAAGTCTCAGCTCCCCCAACTCAATGTTGAGCTTGTGTCATGGTGAATTACCAAAAGTTGTCTCGGCGTTGTTTACAACATGAACTGAGGGGGGGGGGGGATTGTTTACAACATGA